GATAACAGGGTCTAATAATAATAATAATAATAATAATAATAATAATAATAATAATAATAATAATAATAATAATAATAATAACAATAGGGTCTGGTAATGTGTACAGTACAAACACACAGTGAAAGACACACAAAATTAACCACAACTCTCCCTCTGACCTAGCAGTGCTGAACTCCCTGCATCCAACCTGCCTTAAAAGAGTTTTATTTTTTTAAGTTAACTTTTAAAAATTCACTGCAGTATAAGGATCACATATCAAAAAGGAAAACCAAAAGCAATGAAAAATGGCATCGGATGCAGGATATAAAGTAAATGTACAGCATATCCATGAACACTCCACTCCACTGATTGAGTGTGGATGTACAGTATATCCATCCACACTCAATCAGCAGAACAACAGGACTGCAGAAAAGCTGTTTTTTTTGTGGAAATAAAAACTATGCAATGTTATGCACTCATTTCTCTCCTATCCTTTTAATACACAGGCACAATTAAGATTCCACACACACAACTGTATGTTTTGCTCTCTGAATTTAGTTTGTTATAGTCAGTCATAAGTGAAAACTACACAGAATTATATACATTTAAAATTGAGAACAGGAGTCACTTCTGTACACAAAGTGAGTATGGGACTAACTACAGATCCATGTATTTGAGGCCAATAGTCTGACTTCATTTGAGAAACGGCAGAATAAGATCCCCCAATCAAAGAACTACTGACTAAGACATGGTAGATGGGCTTGACTCCTCTGATTTCTAACCTTATCTTGTGTCAATAAAAGACTCTCTGCTCTTATAACTGGTACTAACCTGTGATTGTCAAATCTTTTTGACACCCTACCTGTAAGCAGGGTGTGAAATACCTCTGACAAGTGGACAAGTCAGAACAGTGAGTCTGCAGGTTCTCATTTTCCCAGTGTGAAACAGAGGTTGAATCACGAAAGTCAGACGTAACTGTCAATCAACACAGGAGGGGGAGAAAAAATAAAAATATACATAACCAAATACATTTTTTTTCCCAAAAAAAGAATATTTAATAAATATAGAAACTGCAGAAAGTAGAACACCTTAACACTCCACTGAGGTCTGGAAATAAGATTAAGAACAGTAATAATAAGATAAGATCACTTTATTGCCCATATACAAGTTCTTCTATTAGGAAATTGTCTTTTCACATACCTCAACTTACTCTCCATGAGACACACAGACAGGGTCAGGGGTCCAACAGAGTAGGATTCCTCTGCCGCCCACAGGATATGAACCAGCAACTTCCCAGCCACAGGTGCAGATCCTTAGCCACAGAGACACCGCACCGCCCCAATCTGGGAATAATAATATGGAATAATAAGAACTGCTTCTTTATTTGTGTACCATTACAGGCAATGGAAACCACACCTATTGAAAAGTAAGTTTCTTTAAATTTAGCTAAAATATGGGAAACTGTTACCTGGCAGTAGGGCACTTATATGTTTCAATTTGGTCACTGTGTGTGTGTGGAGACTATCACAGTGATGTCACTGTGTGTGTGCAGGCTATCACAGTAATGTCACTGTGTGTGTGCAGTGTATCAGTGCAATGTCCCTGTGTGTGTAGTCTATCACAGTGATGTCACTGTGTTTATGTTCAGTGCTGTATATAACTGTAATGACACTGTGTGTGTAGTGCTGTACAGTATATCACAGAGATGTCATTGTGTCCATTACAGTATATCAACAGTGAGGTGAAAGGGGGGTTTGTGTGTCACAAATGTGACAGTCATGTTTCCACAGTATCTTCTCACTGTCACTTCACTCATTCTTTCAGTGCTTCTTACATCCGAGTTGCTCACACTCTCTGTGAGGGGGAGAGCAAAGCCATTGAAAAGAGAAAACTCAAAATTCAGAAAGCCCTGAGCAGCCTACAGATTACTTGTGATGGGGTAAGGAGTTCTGATATTCCATTGTGATGTTTTTTTATCTGTATTGTACAGTACTTCTGTTGTACAATGATTTAAATTGAGATGTGTAATGACTTGACATAATCTCATATATAGTTATTAGTCTCACAATATCTTGAAGTGCAAAAGCAGGAATGGTATGTTTTTTCAATATGGAATTAACCTACTGTATATTTATTCCTATACAGTATTAAAATTCTAATAATATTTCAATTAAGATGACTTGACAGATTCTAATTGAGTTCATTGTCACGAAATGTCATAGATGGGTATTGTGGGAGTCAGGCTGGTATAGAAGCTAAAGAAGAATGTACAGGAATTACTGTCAACATACTGTACAAGTAACATACAGATACATGTAGCTGATTAATTTGAACTCCTAATCAATTGTTTTTTTTGGCATTTGAAATAAATGATTTATGAGAATGTTGTTGAAAAATACCAACAAATATATACGTATATATTAATAATAAAGATACTGAGGCCCTTTATTAATTATAATCTGCAATATGGTACAGCTACATTACAAACCACAATGATACTACAAAACTTTACACATTACTCCAAACAGGATACAACCTGAACTTCAGTCATATCAGCCCAAATAGAATACTGCCTTAAATATGCTCAAAGTAGTCAAATGAGCAGTTTAAGAAAATAAGGATGCACCTCGCTGCATCTCTAAACATCATTTTACAATATTTGCTTCTTTATTCACTCCAGAATGTACAAATTCTGTCTTTAGACAATGTAAGCACTCTGTGTGTTAACTGAATAAATGTAAAAGAGACAGTCCATCCCAGAGCCACAGCAGCTCACTGGACCAGTTCTCATCCTGCTTTCTATAGCATCATGTGGACTAGAAACTACATGACTCCCCTACAGGGAGGGTCAGCTGTGGGATGTTACCCACAGCAGTTCAGTGCTCAGAGTGAATGTACTGTACAACAGCAGTGTCTGCATAGAGGATTCAAACCCACAACCTGTCAGTAATCAATCTAAGGGGCTTACCCTCTACGCTACACCACCCTAAACTGTATGCAGTGAGATAAAGTCCCCACATTAGTCTAACACCTGCTCAGCCTCAAACTCCCCCTGGTATCCAGACTGATAGAAGGTCTGAAGGTTTTCCTCCTGGACTGGAGGCCAGTCTGCCGAAGGGTCACCCTCAGCAATGCTGCACCCATTTATACAGCTGGGAGGACTGGAGCAGTACAGGTGAAGTGCCCTGTTCACACATAGCAGCAGGACAGTGCAGTAATGGGGCAGTGATCACACAACCCTCTGTTTGCAAGACCAGAGACTTTACTGCTGCACACTGCCTGTGCGGGATATAGTGGCACACTGAAGCAGAACAATAAGACTTCAGAAATAACCAGAGTTTCTCCCAGTAGAAGTGTTTTCTGGAGAAAAAAAAAAGATAAAGAGAAATCAGATTTTAAGGTTTACAATATATATTTTTAATTATCAGTATTTTAACACAAAGCATCTGTAAGAATCACAATGGGCTGCTATATCTGAAAACCTCAAACTGAAAGAGCGAGTAACTAGCAAAAGAGCAGTCACTATCCTGGTCCACATGACTCCCCCGTGTTAGATTCTGTCTTCTCCTCTCTTCCTCAATCAGGACCGTGTCCCCCCCATCGCCGTGCTGGGCTCTGGGGGGGGTCTGCGTGCCATGGTGGCTCTCATGGGGACTTTAACTGAGCTGGGGGCTCAGAACCTGCTGGACACCATCATGTACCTGTGTGGAGTGTCAGGATCCACCTGGTGAGTCTGAGACACTGGGCTGCGAGATCAGCTGTGAGCCTGTGAATTCAGCTCAGATTTAGTGTAATGTAACCCTGGATATTCAGAAGGTAATCCAGAATGTTTAAAGAGAACCATAGAATTAGCTGCACAGAGTGGATACCTTGGTGAAATGTTTTCAGTTTCTTTCCTGATCTGTGTCCTTGTGTGTTTAACTCTGCAGGTGTATGTCCTCTCTGTACCATGACCCACAGTGGTCCTCTCACGTGGAGGAGGCAGAGACAAAGATGGTGGAAACACTCAACATGGACAATTTCAGCTTTTTAAAAATGAGGCAAAAAATCAACGAATCAACAGAGGATGAGAAGTTTTCCTTAACAGATGTATGGGCTGCAGGTGTTGTTTACAAAATTGTGAAAGAGGTCAGCATTGCTTCTTGTGTGTATCGGTCTGTATGTGAGTCCAGCTCTCTTTCTTTTCTCATTCCTCAGTGTCTCTTTGTATCTGGCTGTTTGTGTTTGTGAACTGGTTTTACAGAAGTCCTTAGGTAATACAACTTGTTGTAGGAGTCTATTGCCTATCTCTACTTCATCAATACTTCTTTTTCCTAAAACAAGAGCCATAATTCACAAATTTGTCTGTGAGGGGAAGGGATTGATTAAGTATTCAATTTCATGTGTTTGGAGATAAAATGAACTAAATAAAATATAATTAATGATAAAATAACAATGAAAACATGATGATTCTATAAAACACTGCAGCAAAGTAAGACATTTGGACAATGAGGGAAAGGGTGTTTAGTGCAGTAAACCAGAATAGTCACTAGTTGTTAGCATGAGACAGTTCTGTGTAGATGAGATTCTAGAGAGTTAATCATTCAAGAGAGATTTGGCTTGCAGGGAAGCTGGATTGAAAAATTGCAGTTTTGTATCCCTCATTTACACCTTAAACAGATGACCTACCTGTAATCTAGCAAAAGGGGATCTCTTCAGCTGAATTTGAAGTGTGAGAATCCCAGCTACCCTACAGATACCAGAAATCGTCTACAGCAATAACATTAGGTTTTTCATATGCATCTTGTCATGAAAATGCTCATATCTGCTTTACTTTTACAATAGACACTGATTGCAAAATACACAACTGGAAATACTGGTAAAAATATATATTCCCGTTAATGCAGATCAACAACTAAGAAAAAAATACAAAACTCATTTTCTGTTAGAGAAAGTTATTGTTCAGGAAACTGCTAGTGTACAATTGCTATTATTGTATTAACAATCACAGCTCACACATTTTAAAGCTGTAACATCCATTCATTGGATGGATGCTAAATTTGAGTTGCATTTCTTGCACTTAATTAATGAGTTAAGATTCTCTTCAACCTCACTGTCATCGCTGTTCACCTCCTTGAATGTGTGCCCAAGCCAGGCCAACACCTGCAGCATTGTGCTTTGAGAACTTCATCTGGTTTAAATGCAGTTACAGTGTTGTCGTGCCAAACAAAATGACAGCAATTCGGGTGTCCATGTAGCAGAAGTCTTCTTTGTTACATAAACATATGGGAGCCAAGCTCTTGCAAGCCAGACTCAAAGAAAAACAGCACAAAGGTGATCTTTTATACAGTGTAATCAAAACAAGTTAAAAGGCACTCCTACTACTTAAAGTATGGCTATGTAAGGTCTTATTGTGTGAAGCTTCTATGCAAAGTTCTGTAATGCGGGATATTCAGTACACCTCCCATGTAATTGATGACAAGCTGCCTTTATGCTAAAGTTCCTTCGGTTAGCTAGGAGGATGAGTACAAGGCACAGTGACCCAGTCATGTCCCTGGGCACACAGCCAGTGTCGGGTACCGTCTTTCTGTTCTGAGCGTGTAGACAACACAGATAGGAAGCAGCTGCACTAAGCTATAGCAACAGGAAAAACAAAATTGGACAGGACAACCTTTTATCCCTTCCGTATATTCTTGAGGACAGAATGAGACCAAGACACACAAATACTGTAAAATGACATTTACTTTGATGTTATTTTAAGAACAAAGCTTTTTTATTAACACATTGTTTCGTTAATAACTATCTTCAGCGGTCTTTAAGTTTTCCAAAGTTTTAGAAAAAACAGTAAGAAAAAAAAGAATGCAATGTGCATATATAACCATTACATAACATATAGTTTAATGCTGGGATGCTTGCAACTTCTTCTGTGTTTTAGGATCACACATGCCTTGTGTAGTTTGAGAAAAATACTACTCAAACTGTGAACTGTGAGATGTTTTGAGAATTATTAATATTGTGCCAAAACCAACCCAAGCAGCCATCATTTTGAAGTACCTGTCACTGTCAGGAACCAAAACACAATACAGTAACAGGCAATTTTATTATTATTATTATTATTATTATTATTACAATTAAAAGAGCGACAAACCTAATATAATGACATGGTGTTTTGCAGTTTTGCAATGCTGGGGTGCTGGGTTCAGTTCTGGACCTGGGGTGCTATCTGCAAGAGGAAGGGAATGTTACTCTGACTTGTCTGAAACAATGAGTATGGTGATGAGGAAGTAGTGTTACTTGGAGCTCCTGAGAGGAGCAAAAAGGAGAAAGGCCTGGTGTGTTTTTACATCAGTCTCCTTTCACTGTACAGCGGTCTTCATCTCTAGGAGTTTCAAAACACATTGTCTCCTAATCCCAGTCAGGTCACGTGGCACCTTGTTGCAAAGTTAATTCTAGTTCTCCAGGACAGACAGCACCCTTACAGGCGGTTAAATCCAGATTTTTATCACCCATTGTCAGCAACATGTGGAATGTGTTTCTGGGTCTATAGGATGTAAGCCTTTTGAGACTCTTGTTTTGATAGTGTAGCTGGTGTTTGTGTTTTATTAGAGAGGTGTGATAGCCAGCTGATAAACCACGTCACCCAGCTCACACTGAGCATATTGGTCTCCACCTTCATTGGCATTTGTGTGTTTATGTCTCCATACCACCATTAAAATCTAATTTCTCAGAAAGCGTATGCTACATATTTGTAGTGTTAGTCCTCTGTAGCTCCTTCAGGCTTTTATCATAACTGATCTTCAGACCTGGGACATGTCTTGTGGCTCATCTATGGACTTCAATGTTTATTCACACATGCTCGTCTCTTCCCAGATGGATGACCGCAAACTTTCAAAGGAAGAAGATGTGGACATGACCAACCCCTACCCCATCTACGCAGCTGTGGACAAGTCACAAATGAAAAAGGAAAAACACAACAAAGGCACATATTTGTTCTAGAGGCCATAATTCTGTAATACTGTATATTTTATAGAATTATGATATTGTATTAGGATTAATCTAAGTTGTAAATTAGAAGCGACAATAGCAGTAGCGAGACATAAAATCAATAGTAAATTGTTTTCCATAACATTTTGTGCTAATACAGCAAGGCACTGAAGAAACCTGAGTAAACTATCTTATTAAAGACACAGCTGCAGTGACTCAGTTAGGATCTGAACTCCCAGTCTCCCTGAGAGAATTCCAGAGCACTAAACTACGCTTCCCTGGTAGTGCTTATAGAAGTGTTAGTAGCCAGTGCTTCAGAAGCAGCAGCAGTGAAATAAGCTGTTTTTGTGTTTGGGCAAGAAGGTGGATAGTTTTGAATTCACTACAAAACAGCCAACAGATTTTTTGGATTAGAGGAAGTGGTGTAACTTTACACAGAGTGAGAAGATTGCAGTGGACTGGTGATGTCTACCTTTAGAACTATTCTAGTTTCGTCTGACCCACTGCAATACAGCAGGGCATTTTGTAGCCACATCTCCGCTCTGCCTGGAATGCTGAAGAGACAGGATAGTGCAGAGCACCAAGCTGCAGTGAGAAGTCACATGGTACCAGGTGCTCTGAGCCATTACAACCTTTTCTGTCTCTCCTTGGCAATCAGCACTGACCTTTTCAACAGTTCACTCCTGAGTTATCTTCCAGCTTCCCAGTTGGAGCCCTTCCTGTTCATAATTTCCAATTCTCTTGGGCTCTGCTTGGGAGCTCTGCTCACAGCTATCCTGTCCAGGGCTCCTCCTGGCTGCTGACTGTGGAACAGTGGTCTTGACCCAGCTTTGTACTGGACCTCAGCAGGTGACCCTTGGCCCAGCCTGACAGCATGCGCTGGCCTGGACTCTGGAGAAGAGCCCGAAAGAGTGTGTGTGTCCTGGTCAGCCCAGCAATCAGCCTTGTGTCCTCCCTGACTGGGAATATCCTACCCAGCCCAAGGGTTGGACCCCTTAGATCTGCATTGTGCCCTGGAACAAAGAACAGTTCCAGGATCTGGTGGCCTTCCTGCACCTGCTTTCCCTACACTCCTGTCCTACGTCAAGTTTCATCCCACTTCCTGGGCAGTCCCAATGGACTATTCGATATCCGAGCAATCCCTGCTCCTGGAGCCTAGCTGTTAGGAATCCGGACAGTGTAGAGTCTCCGATGAGTCGGGTGGTCCCTGCTCCTGGAGCCTGGTCGCTAGCAACAGATCCACATCAGACTGTCACTGCTCTGCGTGAGCCTGTCTACCACCCAAGGTGCAGTGACCGGCCACTCCCCCTGAACTGTGATGCCCTTGCTCTTGGGTCCATTACACCTCCGCATCATCCCTCGTTTCCTGGGGGGGGGTGCTTGGTCATAACAATTCTAAGGAGTTTCTCTAATTCTGTTTCTCTGTCTTCCTTTCCTCCCTGTCTCTTCCCTTTGCAGGGATTTGGTTTGAAATAACCCGTCATGAAGCAGGGTACCCTGAGTATGGAGCCTTCGTGGACACCAGTGTCCTTGGGAGTCAGTTCAGTGGAGGAAACAAGATAAAGCACAAAGATGAGATGGACATTCTATACTTGCAAGGTCTCTGTCTCTTCCTTCTTGAAACACTGTGTCCTCTCAAACAGTTCATCTGTGAGATTTAGGGACAGAGATCTTACTGTCGGGCAGCTGATTCTGAGAAAGGTTTAGACAGAGCAGTGTCATGCCAAACAGATGTAAACTGTGTTTCACTTTAGGGCTCTAGAGAGAATCTCCACCTTCGAGACTGCTGTTCCGTTTCAATATCATGGTTTACAGGGCATGTTCCGTCTGTCAGGAAAGTGCTTCTGGTGTGTGTGTAGAGAGGATTATATTGAAGCGGCAGCTCTGTGGCTAAGGATCTGCTGCTGTGGCTGGAAGGTTGCTGGTTCATATACCATGGCTGGCAGAGGAAACCCCTGAGCAAGGCCCTTAACCCCAACTGTTCCAGGGGCGCTGTACAATGGCTGACCCTGCGCTCTGACCCCAAAGCTTCTCTCCCTGTCTGTGTCTCATGGAGAGTGGGCTGGGGTATGCAAAAGGACAAATTCCTAATGCAAGAATTATCTTATCTTATCTTACACCCTTGCAGTAAACTCCTTAGCTCTCTGGAATAGTGAGGGGGTTTGGGTAACCTATCCAGCCCCCAGACAGACTGCCATTCCCTTAGTTAGATGTGTCACACCAGTATTATACTTTAATACTGTACATATTCATCTCTCTCTCTCTCTCTTATTGGTTATCTACGTTGGTTAGAGCATGGTGCTAGTAATGCCAACGTTGTGGGTTCGATCCCCGTACGGGCCAGAATAGTTGCTTTTGGGCGGCTCTGTAGCTAAGGATCTGCGCCTGTGGCTGGAAGGTTGCCGGTTCATATCCTGTGCGACGTATAAATGCCTGACCCTGTGCTCTAACCCCAAGCTTCTCTGTCTGTGTGTCTCATGGAGAGCAGATTGGGGTATGTGAAGAGACAAATTCCTAATGCAAGAAATTGTATATAGCCAATAAAGTGATCTTATCTTACATTATTTATGTGACCTATTTTCAGAATGTTTTTTTGTATAGGATGCCAGGTATAATGACATCTATATGATGCATATTTATAGTTATTATACATATTTTTATATTAAAAGCTGATACTAACACTATTATTTAAAAATGTGACAGATACACACAATAAGAATGAATAATTTAAAGAGTTTTTCTATATTTGAAATCTGTTCTGGACCTTTTCATTTGCTGCATCAAATGGAAATCCTGGGATTTATTGATTGGTGGTTAAATACATTTCCTCATTATGTATGTAAAGTGGCCTGATGTGTAAGGAAGATTAGAATATAGAGGTGTTTACTGCTTTATAAATAGTAATATATCAGTAAATATACAGTAAGTGACACATTTCTCATGGGAAAAACCTATGAAATGATATAGCTAATAAAACTGAAAAGTGTGAAAAAGGATGTGAACAAATCCAAGTATTTCTTTAGGAAGGACTTTACAGGTGTAATTGAGTGACAGCTTCAAAACAAGTCACTGCTGACCGTCACGGATTGCTAGCATTCATGTGGGGTGAGGAAGTCGAAGTTAGTTCAACTCCAAACCATCTTTGTCGCTCAGTTCATACTGTTCTCTGTTTTTTTCAGGATTGTGTGGCAGTGCAATAGGCGATATGGAGAAGAACATAAAGTTTGTTAAAGGTATTTTCATTTTTGTGCATTTTATTAAGCAAAAATCCATGGTTTGTTTAATGACCACCCAATTTGTAATTTTCACATGCTAGTCAGGCTTCTAAATCCCTGGTAGCAGCACAGCAGAAAGAGGGACAGTGGGCCCCACTGTGAGGACATACATGTATTACACACCCCAGTGTCCACTCCACTCCACAGTGATGCACAGGGTGTGACAGGAGCGGTGGTGATGCTCTCAATTAAGAGCACAAAAACAGCTACAGTAGAGGCAACTTGGCCCCTCTAGCCTATTTGGCAGTTAGTAGCTACAGTATAGTATATAATCCAGGAATCTCATCCAGCTTTTTCTTGAAAAAAGACAGGGTATCAGCTTCAACACCATGGCTGATACCTCACTCCATACTTCCTGAATAGCAATGTTGTGGAGGCCTGTACCCCAGATTCCCTAAGGAAACAGCTGGATGAGAACGCTGAATCATTTAGAACAGAACACTGCAAACTTTCAGATACTAGGCAAATTTTAGTACTCTGCTATATCATCCTGCAACTTACAACTGGCAACCCACTGAAGTGAAGCATGTGTGAGCCTGGTCAGTACCAGGATGGGAGACCTCCTAGGAAAACCTAAGGTTGCTGCTGGAAGAGGTGTTAGTGGGGCCAGCAGGAGCTCTCCCTGCTGCCTAGAGATGCAGCCATTCAAAGTATGTAACACAGACATGTACTGTGGGTAATTGGCTATGGCCTCATGCATTGTGATGCAAAATACTGTGGTACATGAGTGGTTGACTGACAGGGGCACTTGTGGTGTGTTGGTCAGTTGTAGAAAGATTTAAATGTCTTTACTGTGCCTGTTTTAGTATTGAATATTTATATGGAATTTTACCACTGAAGGGAAATCTTAGTAGCTGAGCATAAAAAGAATAGGAGCATACTGTAACGTGTGTGAAGGCCATCAATGATAT